GTTATTTTGTGACGAATGTCTTCTTTCGTTTGGTCTGTTAAGTTGGTGTACTTTAAAGCGGATTCCAGGTCGGCAACGTAGTCAAGTTTGTTCGCGTCTTTAAAGTTGTAATTTAATCCTTTGTTTAAAATTTTAGTTTGCTGTTCAGTTAGTGGTTTGTTCGAGATGTTTGTGACAAATTCGTTTGTGTTGGGATGGAGTTATTTGTAAGATCTGGATTCTTGTAATTTTCGATGAAGTTCGTGGTGTCGTTTTGTTCTATATGCGGATGTTGCTTTTTTGATGGCTTCATTAATGGATTTGGCGTCTGATTGTGTCGTGTATGTTGTTACGGTTTCTCGATGTTCTTGTAGTTTATGACGGTAGATTCGTAAGCGGTTGTGGGCATCTGATATGAGGACGTTTAACATACGGCGGCCGTTTGATTGTGCAATTTGTTGAGCGTGAGTTGTTTTTAATGGTGGTCGATAGTTGATGCTGTTCGGTAGGATTCGTTGTTGTTTGCATTTGTGTAGGAAGTGAAGCTTCCTTTTTTGATTTTTTTTAATCAACATGTTAGATTTAATCAACATGTCAAATTCAAAGATGGCGATGGAAGCAAAGTATGACTTCAAATGTTTTTCCCAATGCGTCATTACTAACTTTACTTACTGATAAAAATAATTGAGAAATATCTCCTGAATCTAACCTCGATTTTTAAAATTGCGTTATAGCAAGCATTGACAAGCAAACACTATTCGAATACATTTCCAGTTACCACCCAGTCTGGAAGTATGTTGTTTTAGACATGATCTCCGGTATGCACAATGAAATTATTGGTGTACTGGTGCGAAAATCATGTTTTATGGTGCACACACAACCGAAATCCAAAATATAATGATGAGTATATCGTGCTTATGTTCGTGAAATACTTGAAATTTGATAGTTGTTGATTCGAATGTTCACTCGGAAATCATTTGTTACTCAAATAAAGTAACTTTGCAGGATGAGACCGTACTTGGCTTTAGATTTAATGACCAACTTGGTTTGCTCTCTCTATTGATAAATGTGCATGGTGTGCATTGATAATATGAAAAAATTTCTGGTGAGCAAAAAGCATACTTTCCAGACTGGGTTGCCACCAATTCGTGAAGAGCTTTTTCTTTCATTCTTAAGCTTTTTATACGGTTCATAAACCAAAATAATGAAATGATTTAACCTCACATCTAGCCATGGTATTGGAATGAAACATCTGGCCATAGAAATCTACAAAAGAAATCATGAAATCAATCCATAAAGCAGACCTGATGGAGTGGTAGAGTGGTCCCACTCACACTAGTGAAACAGTCTAATTTGTTCATTGTCACCTAAAGAAAAAGTGATAGGTTAAACAAACTAAAGTTTAACAAATTTCATTGTTGTGACATAGATCATGTTGGGCAAACCTGAAGTTACTGCTTGCTCGTAATAGTCACAAACATGAAGGATGTTCTATGCTACAATGATTTCTGGTTGTGCTGAAGTAGCTATAACTGCTTATGCTTAGATTTGCTTTAATAGATCGTAATTTATTATATGCCTTTGGTTGTGAATCGAATCAAGGAAAAAAAACAAGAACCACGGGTTTCCACAAAGGTTTAAATGAAGCAAATGGCTCCTTCACAAAACAAGCACTTCGCAATGTCGAAACTTCTTAATAGCACTAACATTTATAACCACCATGTCAACGAATCAATGCAAAATTTTACGCAAGTTCCATAATCTTTCAGAAAAGATTATTTATTGCAATGAAGTGAATGGTTCAACCCATAACTATTGCTAGGTGTTTGCATAAGTTAATTGCTCAGGTTATTTTGTAGGACTGTTTGGAACACATTAGATGTTTATTAGAACACATTATTGTTGACACAATAATGTTTAGGAGTTTGTCCAGCATTGTTTTGTTTGCCATAGAACCATGTGTACAAACATATAATTTAATATATTAAAATTTCAAAATAAAACTTAGGAGAGAAGATTTTCTGGGAGTGGCAGAGTGTGCAACTACTCCCGAGAAAAATTTAATAATGACATGAGTCGTTGGCATAGCGCAATTATGTACACATTTGAGTAAATCTGCAACCCTGTTGTCTTGTGAGCATAAACCTGCCCCTATCACTTTTGGTCTAAAATGAAGTCTTGCACAAGCTTAACTATAACACTGCATGTTTAGTTACATATTTGGTGTATGCTTACTTAGACTATACCAATCCCCATGCATTATTAACATTAATCTACTAATGGTCAAAACTACAGGTTTCTTGGTGGGCTATCGGCGATTTTGAGCTATGTCATTGAAAAGCATCGCTGCCTCAGCCACAAGATCAGAAAGAATCTTAGGCTTGCGTTAATAATGCCTCAGTCATGTCTCAGTCATATGTGAACCAGGCTTTAGTGGAACCCAACGTCGTTTCGACGTCGTAGTCGCGTCGAAATTGATTGGATTATAGTCGTGACGACGTTCGACGTTATTTCAACGTTGTTTCGACGTCGAAGCCAGGACATTAAATTAAACCAGATCCCTTGCGAATAAATGACGACGTCTTAGAAGAAACGTCGTATGTCTTTGCTAAATCACTCTAATGTCGATAGTTCGACGTTATTTCAACGTTGTTTCGACGTCGAAGCCATGACATTAAATCAACCCAGATCCCTTGCGAATAAATGACGACGTCTTAGAAGAAACGTCGTATGTCTTTACTAAATCACTCTAATAATGTCGATAGTTCGACGTAATTTCAACGTTGTTTCGACGTCATCGAAATCGTTTCAACATTGTTTAAACGTTGATAGTACAACGTCGATTAGATTTTACAACGTCGACCTTTTCTCTACGTGAGAACGAGAGCTTTCTAGAGCACTTATACTATTGTTTATATTTCCTAACACAATAAACAACTAGCTTACAATTCCCTAGTAGACTTCTGTGCCTTTATTTGTATCGGCTTCTTCCGAACATTTTGTTTGAACACGCCTCTGGTAGTAGTCCTTGAACGATTGAACGAAAGCCAAAGATTTGAATAATAGGAACAAACACACAAAAGCCAAAAGTTCAACAAAACTGGTGAAAATTTTACTCCTACTTTGCACTCCTTGAACGACGCCATTTTTACACGGTTTTTTACACCATTCAAGTAAAATAGATCTGATGTACGTATTTTTTTAGTTCAATCACTTCAATGGTTGACACAAATGGTTTACACACTGCATGCAACACTTGAGCACATTGGAAAGACTTTTGGAAGGCTTTGGGTAAATATAGCAGTTGGAAATGTCAACATTTGAAAGATTTTGGTTAAGGAAACGTTAATTTTTGTGAGTCATGATAGTGACGTAGCCCAATTGCCCTTGTATCTCTGAGACGAACAGTGAAAAACTTTCAATAAATATCCTATCTTTTGTAAGGTCTAAGCTTTGAGCGCAAGAATAACTATAGAATTACAATGTAAATCTCACATACGCGACGGGAAAATCGCCGAGAAGATTATACTTTAAAAAGTCGTCATTTCATGAGAGAGGACTTTATAACACGTTTATTATTGCTTTGTGGGTCAGGGTCAAAGGTCAAGAACAAGTATCATAGAAAACTGATTCGCAGAAAGACAAACGGAGCATGCGCAAATTAAATTATGGCTTAACATCGATATTACGAAAAGCAATACACAAGCAACGCTTGAAGAATATGTAGTTAACGATAGGGGATACAGAATGGTAGGTTTTAACTGTAAAAGACGTCATTTTACTTTTGAAAATGTATTTGAAAAAGTGTGTATGCGCAAATATTCCCTCCCACAACAATGGCAACGTGGCGTATATTGTTTGGATAAATAGAAAGCTCTCGCATTGGAGGATGTGCAGCTTCGGCTACACATATAATAAAATTGGAACGATACAGAGAAGATTAGCATGGCCCCTGCGCAAGGATGACACGCAAATTCGTGAAGCGTTCCAAATTTTATTTGTTTCAACTTCAAAAGAATCAAATCCAACATATTGAATACAAAATGTATTGTCGTTATCATTCCAGATATATATATATAGAGAGATCTAAATTCTTATTTGCATTTCATCTTTGCTGGACAATTTAAGCAATTGTCTCATGAACTTGAAAAATTCAGAGCACTGCACGGGCACCGCAGAGGTCATGGGTTCGAATGCCGTTGAGTCACCTGAATTTTCAGGTTCTTGAGACAATTGCTTAAATTATCCAGCAAAGTGCGAATATTATATCTTCATTCAATTAACTAATGTTGCAATAATTGCATCATCTAGTAGAGAGGCATGTGGGCGGTTTAAGACAGATAAAACGAGACAGTGCAATCATCGAGCAACGCACCCCACAAACAAAATATCCACAACTTCGAAAGTTCTTCATTGTCGGATCAAGCAAATGATGAACAGAAAATCATGAATAGCAGCATCATTATGGTCAAACGATGAACTACGACAATTATCACTACTTGAATGACCCAATCAATAATGCTTCCGTGAACGTTCGGCAGGAAAAAATGTCATTGGACGTCTCTGAGTGGAAATGAAGTAGAACATATTCCATTTTTAAAATAATAGAATTCATTTTGCTCATTTTAATGCAGTAGTCCAAATTAAAAGATAAAACAAGTCAATGTTTTAAATAAGCTAATTGAAAGAAAAGAAAGCACACTGCAGCTTGCTATGCCTTTAGACTGAAATTATCTATTTCTAAAAATATAATGAAACAAGAATGGTATAGCGAAATTTGAAAGCCATTATACTATATTAGATTGGTCTTGAACGGTAAATTATATTATGACGATGAAAAGCTGCTTTTATATAACTTCCTGCATTCATATGACGTCTACGCTCAACGCATATAGCTAATTATAATGCAGGGTACAAACTTTCCTGTAGAAAGTTTACCATTCGCAACTATATGTGTGCTAACGACAAAGTACTTATCATTTAACATGCTATTCAGATTTTTCAGTGTAAACTTTGTTATTTTATAAGATAATGCATTTTTTCTTCTTCGGTTTTTTCTGAGGCGCTTCGTGTTGAGCATAAAACTTCCTAAAATACAAGAAATAGGAATTGAAGGTCCATGTAAAAAAGGCGACACTTGAAAATCTAGCGTGAGACTGGGAAAAGCTGTAGCCCCACACCTTATAATTTACTGATATTAATGTGAAAATTTAACAGGCTCAACATTCTCCCCGAAAACCCATGAAAAGTAACATATTTGAATTTTCAGCCACCTCAGTCTGAACTCTTTTTCTGACTACGCTAATGACGATGACAAACTTGCTTGCATTCGATGATGCGAGCTCAGAGTATGTGTTCCATTACAATGTTTCATGCACAATTCCTTGGACAAATTTCTGATTCTCGCACACATAAAGCAAGCCGTGTGCGTGTGCAAATATACAACGCAGTATCGTTCATGATCACGACTTATACTAAATTCTGAATCAAAACTTGTTGTAATAAGCATGAAACTTCTCATGAAAGGCTTGTGAACAACACTCCACAATTTAATATGTGAAAACACACATTTTCCTAATTGCTCTTACGAGGTCATGGAAAGCAGCGTCAACATTTGTTCTCGTTTTGGCGCTAGCTTCAATATATGGGATCTAAATATCAATAAAGAATGCTGTTGACAAATCATTCATTGAATTTCGTGAGCAAAAAAGAGAGCAAAAAACTGAGCTACACAATTACAAAATCTCAACACGTTGGCTGAACATTGAATCAATCCATCCTCTGGTAGGCAATAGAGTAATTTGTATGTACTTTATCTTTACGACCGAAAAAAACCTGAGGAAAAACTCCCATGTCAATAATAGAATATGTCTTTAATTAATTTACAAAAAGGTGGGTTGCCTGCAAAATTTCAAATTCTTGACATAATCGTGAAGCAAGCCTTGTTTGCACTTCAAGTCATGAAGAATACAGACGAGTTTATTCTGCACAATGCTCTTGCCAGCACTGAGAAAACATGGACAGTTTACATAATTTTTTATAAAAATAAACACAATAACACGCGTGCGCTCATTGGTCAAAAGCTGTGTTTGCATATTTGCCTGTGCTAATCAGATCTGAGCTCAACCAATTAAATCAATCAAAGAGATTTTGCAAATCAATCAAGAAAATTAAAACGTTTGTTTTAAATTTGTTTGTTATGCAGCATTGCTATTTTGCAAAAGAAATAAAAGATGTTTTTTGTGTGCAACCCTCAACCTTTGATCTTGGTTTGCACTGATCAACACCAATCTCAGGCTTCAATGATTAGCTCTCAAGTTTTCCCAAAGGTCTCCTTGGCTTGCATAAGCCTGTGCAAACACAGCAAACATCTTTTATTTCTTAATGTGTGCACAGGTACATTTTTATGACTAAGCAGGAATCCCTTTTTTCCAAGATACTACATTATCCACAAACAAAGCACAAAAACCTAAACTCTTTTCATATGGATATTGTTAATGTATAAAATTTAAACAATTGTAATCATTCTTTTGCACCTACTCATTTAACATTAAAATCTGCATGCTAATGTCTATTACAAGTATAGGCAGGTGAAAGTACAATCTACAAGGATCAACAGCAAACATTCGATGGTGTTCATCTTCTTGCATAAAAAATAAATTTCCTCAACAAGATGACATATAAAGTTTAAATCTTGTGGTTAAGATGTTAAGATATATTTTGTACGTATTTTTGTGATAATCGTGAAAAGATTTATCAATGTGTTAACACTCCAGCTTGTTTGCACCTAGGCTAGTAAATACTGGCCCCAAACCAGGCAACATTTAGTACCTATGACATTAACCTCAACTCGTAAATAATATTTACAAAAGCAAGGAAAGCACAAGGTCGATAGTTACCCTCAATTGCCTTCCTAATTCATTTCCTTCTTGAGATGAAACCTGTGAAAGAGGTGAATACACTCTTAGATGCAAACGGTTTAGGCTATCAAAGTAAAACTATTGAATATATAATTCCATACCACTCTCTCGCGTTCTAAATCAGATTTGTTTCCCACTATTATCATGGAAAATTCACTTCTGTCTTTAACTCTTAAAATTTGATTGTAAAATTTATTGATTTCGTCAAAACTAAAAACAACAAAAACATCATTAAAGTTACTTTCAATGCTACATTAAAATAACAAAATATGACATCAATTTGGACATAACTTTCCAAATCAACACGTCCATATCATGATGTTACCTCGCCCTATCTGTAAGTGAGAACACCAATAAGAATCCTTCCCCACTTCTCATGTACTGCTCCCTCATGGCACTGAATTCCTTTAGGTAATTATAAGAGTAATTAAAACTTGGTTTGTCGAAAAATGCTACATCCATATTGACATGTTATCATTTAATAAATATTAGTTCAAATGATGATCCCAACTATAACTGATCACATATAATATAAAGAAAGCTAGGCTAAGAGCTGCATTTTCATTAGGAACCTCTATAACAAGTAGAAAACAATGTCTAATGTTGTTCAATGTCTTCCAAAATACCCTCATAGAAAAAATATTTAAAAATAATCAAGTGTAAGTGAATTGCCTATCATTTCTTGATACTTCATGTTGTATTAAGTACAAAATGGTCTTTCATAAAAATTGAGGGCAAATTTGAAACTATTTTTCTTTGCCTTGATACATAATACAGTTTTCAAAATTCAAATGGCATAATTCAAAAGTATTTCTGGGCATAATTTGCGCCACACAAACGTTATGACAACACTTACCTCCTGACCAGCTGTATCCAAAACTAATGATAAATAAAAAAAACGTTAACAATCAGCTATACGACAATAATAGTGGAAGATGTGGATGAAGAAGAAGAAGTAAATGGAGAAGAAGAAGAAGTGGATGGAGAAAAAGAAAAAGTGGATGGAGAAGAAGAAGTAGAAGAAGAAGAAGAAGTGGATTGAGAAGAAGAAGAAGTGGATGGAGAAAAGAAAAGTGGATGGAGAAGAAGAAGAAGTGGATGGAGATCATATCTTCATTTAATTTCAAACACCGCACTGCATAAAACATTCTTTCATATGACATTCCTTTCACGAGAAAACATTGGCCCAAAAAAAATTGACCTGCTCACCATTGTGTGACTTCATAGCTCAGTTGGTCTGAGCACTGCACCGGCACCGCAGAGGTCATGGGTTCGAATCCCGTTTAGTCACCTGAATTTTCAGGTTCATGAGACAATTGCTTAAATTGTCCAGCAAAGTGCGAAGATCATATCTTCATTTAATTTCAAACACCGCACTGCATAAAACATTCTTTCATTAGTTAATTGATTGTGCATTTTCCGGAGCTAACAACCTTGGTTGATTTTGGAAAAGTATACCTTCTACTGACTGATTATTTTTATTAGCACCAAGGAAACGTGGCAGAAGAACCAATCAGTTTGCACACAGCTCAAATTTCGGCCTTTTCACAGCCTCTATATTATCCAAGAGCTATCGTTAGCCTACGCTAGAAAGTGGCAATTCAGAAAATGTGATCTTTTGGTGAATCACAGTTCACAAAATTCTCTGAACCAATTACATGTTTTAAACGGTGTCAACTGTCAAAATAAAGGAAATCGAAAGCATTATATTTTTCTATGTTAATCAACAGCAGCACTCTTGTGTAAATTTATTACACTATTGCTGCTCTTTTCACACTTTAACACATCCACTGTACACATTACTGTACACACTTTTTTTCTGAACTCTGATCGGGTGAATTTGGCCTAATTGCTTTTAACCTGCTAGGCGGGAAGCAGAGGTCAAGTTGTTTATCCGTGGTTAATGGTCGTGAGCGTGAAATTGTTTTTTCTATTGAGAAATTTCGATTTAGTTGCCCTCTTTGGTGTGCTAAAGTTAGAAATGAATCAAATAGTTCTTTGCTCTGTAATAAATATGCCTCAAAACAACTTTTCAAACCGTTTATCGATGAAAAAGGATACCGAAAAGGTAAGGGTAAATATGAAATTTAGAGCATCTGAATTATCAAATTTTGTTTCTTGTTTTGCTCCCAACCACGGACCCCTCCCAAAATGAAATACGTTCTTACGTCCTTTTCTTCACTAAATACCGTTTGACTTTTTGGTGTGTTTTTGGTGATAACTAAACGACGAACGAGTTTCTAAGTTTTCATGAGGGTGGCATTGTGGCAAGTTTTCGCTCCTGTGTTCATCAATTTGAACTTTGCTATTTTGCAAGGAAAGGTCATTTGGCTTCGCATTTAACCAGTGATTCAAACCCGTAAGCTAACTTTGTACATTTATTTTAATTTGGACTTAATTGACTTTGGTTACTCGTTTGAACGCTTGATAATATTAATTATATGTATATAATGTTTAAAAGAGCATCATTTTGACATTCGTAATCAGGCTGCAGTGTACACGTAAATTTATATAATGCCATGATCTAAATGAGATGTTACCCTGTGAAGTGCTGCCTTTAACTTAGTAGTGAGAATGTTATAAATTTTACCATAATCTAATGGCAAGTATAATTGAAAAATGATGATTTGTTAGAGCAGTGTTAAATAGGATTGTATGGCTTGTTTTTTGCATGTGTATGAAATGATAAATCAAGACAAGTCATTGATTGTGTTTTTTAAGAAATATTAGTGTTGGAGAGTGCGGTCGATCATACCTTAACAAGTTTAGAAGTTTTATGATGAAATATGACCAGGTAACTGTCTGAAAAAATCATTAACTTTTTAAACTTTAAGCTTTTAAGTACAACTTGAGATTAGTTTCAAAAGCATTATCGACATTGGCTAGTTTTTATTTTTTATTGACCTCTAATTGCTATTTAGTTGTTTATTGAATTGGAATTGAGATTTCACTATCGTAGGAATTGAATTTTCAGAGGTAAACTAAAAAGTTATGTTTAACGTAGCTTTTTAAAAGTTTGATCAGATGTTAACAAAATATTCAAGCAAGGGCAAAGAATCCGTGATCATAAATAATTTCAATAGAAACTAAAACAGTAGAACATGCATATATGAATATTATCCCTCCCAATTATCAATCATCTACTGTCCTTTTAGTCAAGTGAAGTTGCCTGTGGTCATGTCTTTTTTAATAAGAAACCGTGTGTTCCAAAGTATTTCAAAGTTGTCAAAATACTTTAAAAGCTCTGTTTTGCCTTTTTATTTATAGTTCCTATTTTATTTTATTTTTGACACATGTTTGTTTTTTTAAAAAATTTTATGGAAACATATTGGTTACACATTGTAAAACATAATTACCCATGGACATTGCACCCCTCTGCCCTAGTATTGTTTATTGAATTGCCGAGATAGCAATATTGCAATAAAAACAATTGGGGAAGGGGAGGTTAGGGGAAGTACAATAATTTGATCTTTCATAATATTTTCATAAAAACATTAAATTCTATCCGTAAGATGGAGACAAAATAGCAAACCATTGATCGAAAGTTGCATTTGGGAGACCGTTTGTTGTTAAGTAATATGCATTCCCTAGATATTTGCCATCTAAAAATTCCATCAACTCTTTTGCTTTTGCATTCCGTCCCGTCGGGCTGTCCACGATTACAGAATTTGATTGTGAAAAGCCGTGATCGTGGACATCTTTGAAAACACTTTTCATGAGAGATTTTCCTACTTTGATGTCTTCGCAATAAAGTGGACCAAGTTTGTAACCTTCTTCAGAGAAGAAGGCTAATCTCACAACAACGTAGCCTAAAATTCTTCCTTCTTTTTTGAATGCTACGCGCGCATGCGTACCCAGCGTACTTAACCACGTTTTAAAAATTTTCTCTTGTGCAACCGAAGACTTTTTTGTCATAGAGTAAAACGTCATGCATGTTATTTTCATCGATACGATTCAATTTAAAGTGGCCCGGATGACTTTGGAGTTTTTCTAAACTTCTTAAAACATTGAGATCGTAAATGCCAACCGGCCATTGACAAACATAACCCAACATATTCTTTAATCCGCGAAGCTGGAGCGTAACACACGCTTATTGTTCTTGCTGGTTCTTCTTCATGGCGTTCCATTATAGCTTGTATGATACGTTTACCATAGCCCATGTTTCGATAGTCTTTGTGGATAATAAAGAGCCATGTTGGAAACCGTCTGAGCCATATTTAACGAGGGATATTGTTGCAACAGGTTTCTTTTGTGACTCTACAACATACACCGAGGCTTGCTCGTGTTCTAATATGCAATCAATATCATTTACACAAGGTCTCCATCCTTCGTTTGCTTTAGTAAACAGGTAAAAGTATTTATGTAACGTTGATGTTTCGTAAGCTGATCATCTTGCTCTTCTGCAAATTTATTGATATTCTAAGTTACACCACAGAATATAGTTATACGAAACGAATAATGTGACATGTGGCATGTGACATGTTCCATACTCCACAATAAAGACCATGTGAGACTTAAGCTAATTATAATAAGAAAGATTAATATCATGCAAAATTTGTGGCTTAAAATCGTTGAAAAAATAAAAGGGTCAACTGGATTTTGACGTGTAAATTATGCGAGTGTGCACAATTTTCTATTTATTTACACCTTTCTGAAGTCATTACAGGAAAAGATGTCCTCATTTTATCAAAGATCGTCCAATAAAACGTAAATGCGTTGATTTGCGACAATTAGACAATCAATAGAACGAAAAGCTTATTCAAGAAAGAAACTTGAATAATCCAAGCATTCATTACCGTCTTTAAGAATTCAATGCAGAAAAATAAGCGTACAATAGCATTGAATTTCTATTCATGTGCAATTATTCATAAGTTATCAGCACGAAACTGAAATCAATTAAATGATTATATTGTTTATTAAAATTTGTATGCACAAACGTTCATTCAATAACGTCAATGAGCAGTGATTACAACGGATTATAGTGTCAATAGTACTTTAATGATAATGTTAACATATTACGCATGTTCATTAAATACAAATAATTTTTCAATACAACATAACGTAAAATGGAACGATTGATGTGAAAAAAGGCAGTCTGTATACAATCACTTGGCAATACACCAAGTTCTGAATGCTGTTATACAGAGCGTATATAAAGGAGTGATCACTGCACGAGACAGCAGAGATCGACCGCTGGTGTGAAACATATGTGAACATGCAAAGGCGCAACAGAATCTCACAAGAACATAGACAGCGAATTGTACAAGCGTTTGAGGAGGAAAACGAAGATTTTTTACTCGTTGCCGACACATTAGATGTTAACAGGTCAACGGCACGCAGAACAGTTGCGCGTTTTATTAGAGAAGGACGAATACATGAGCTACCTCGAGATGGTAGAAACAACATACGGGTGGATGACGAAATAAAAAATTGTTTCGAGGAGATTCTGAACGAGAACTGTGTAGCAACGCTTTAATCAAGAAACACGACGACGTCTTCCACAATAACCGTCATCCATGAAAGCACAGTAGCAAGAACACTTTTAATGGATGCTATACTCATTCAAACTTTCGCTACCAGTTTCAGCAGAAAGAAACAGACCTGATGTTATTCAGAAGCGTAGAGAATACGCAAATTGGTTCTATAAATTAACTTACGAAGTAAAGAAATATTTTTTCTTAAGTACTGTAAAAGCACCGCCAATTTGAAACAAAATGTACATTCCCGCGTAACACAGTAAAATTATAAAAAAACCAACTCAACACTGTTTTTCACCATCGAATTTGCGAAACTTACGTTATCAACAATCGTATAGTAATGAAATAGAAATGCGTAATTATTACCATTTAAGGTTGATTTATGAGGACACATTAGTAATAGTCAAAATCCCATGATGGACTTTATGTAGCTAACACAATGAGTTTTTGGCAATATTTCCTGTGTAGCTAATTCATAAGCCATTGATTCAGAATGTGTCAACTAATAACACCAGTATTCAAAGCATGTTCAAGGCAAACCGTCACGAAATAACTGAAAAATAGTTTGCAGTAAGTAAGTGGTCATACAAAAGAAGTTGCTAATGGGTCAGGACATGTTACAAGTCTATTGTTTCTTAAATCATTTAGCTTTCAAAATATCTAAATGTGCGGAAGAAGTACGTCAGAAGTCACGGTTTGCTTTCTATGAAGAACTCTACAAATTTTATACTTCCACGTTAAGTAAAATAACGAACTAAGTTTACTTCGTTACCGACGAAGGTTCTCGATTGCTAAATATGAAGACGACATATGATAATGAGGACCATGAACATAAGCATAAGCAATGTGCCTTCATTAGCAATAAGAACGGAGAGTTTTGATAATTTTGTATGTAATTATGCTATGCTTATGTATGTCGCAAGTAAAGAACCAGGTTTAGCTAAAGTCTGGTCCTCATTGATTAAGACGAAAATAAAATACGCTGATTTCTCTTGTTTCAATATTTTGACCTGTTGTAGACACAATACCTTTACCACAACAGATCGTGGATGGCGACTAAATCCGACGAGGTGGTCCAACTGGAGACGATTGATCGGCACATTAGTGTGGGTTTTTCGATTTACCAATAATATTCGAGTTCTAAAAGGAAAGCATGACCATGATGGTTTAAAGTCCAAAAAAAATTTGGATGCGGAGATACTTGTAATCCGTGATGTGCAAAAGACTTCGAGAGTTTTAATTAGAATACGAAAGCATTCGAAAGAAAAGGTCAATGTCAAAGAAATACAAATTGTTGAAATTAATATCCAAGATGGATGATGACGGTATTTTGCGTTGAGGAAAGATATTGCAATGCCAAGTTTTTGCCGTATGAAGTCAGATTTCTCATAATTCTTCTACCTGAAATTGTATGACGAAACTTATTGACAAACACTATCACGAAATGGGACATCATGTTTTAGGAACTAATCGTATCTTGGCATACATAAGTGGGAGATATTGGCTTGAAGCGTTAAGAGAAGAGATAGGCCATAGGAGAAACAGTGTAATGAGTGTAAAAGGGAAAACGCCAAAGGAGCAACTCAAGTGATGGCACCATTTCCATTGAGCCGTGTTGTCCATTCTAGAGCCTTTTAAAGGTATCAGTCAACCTTGGGGCTCCTTTTAATTTGGTACAGGGTCGGGAAATAGACAAAAACAATAGTTTACGTCTATTTACATGTGTGGGTTGCAGAGCAGGTCATTTAGAAATGGCTTGTGGTTGGATACTGACTGTTTTCTATGTTTCACAAGGATGGCAAGTCGAAGAAGATATGCAATCGAAATCATAATCGATCAAGGGACAAATTTTGTGGGAGCTGCAAAATAATTTAAAAAATTGGTTGAAAAACTAGATTAAAGTGAGATTCAGCAAAAAACTATTGCGTAAGTTATAAATAAGGTGGAACTTGAATGCTCCGCATGCTCGTCATTTTAATGGAGTGCATTAAATTATGATAAAAGCAGCTTAAAAAGCAATTTATGCAATTCTAAAGGATGCGGACGTCACTGATGAAGAGTCATCTATCGTATAAATTGGTGTTGAAGATTTGTTGAATACAAGACCATTAACATAGCAAAGCTCAGATCCAGAAGATGTGATCACTTTGACACCAAACCACTTTCTTTTTTGGGGAAAGTCGTTACTCTATGCCGCAGATACTGAGGAGTTTTACCCGCGCAAGAGATGTGGAAGGGTGCAGGAAATCATAGGTTATGTGTGCAAAAGGTGGTTATGTGCTCAATTTCATGTTTATTTTATGCTTGTTTAGTATAACGATACTGCGTTGTATATTTGCACACGCACATGGCTTGCTTTCCTTTTATAACATGGTTCAATGTATGTTTGCGAGAATTGTGCGTGAAACATTGTAATGCCACACGGGCTACTTTGTCATCGTCATTGGTCCTTTCTCACACTTTAACACAGCCACTATACACACTAAACGACGAACGAGCTTCTCAATTTTCACAAGGGTGGCAATGTGGCAAGTTTTGGCTCTTGTGTTCATCAATTTGAACTTGTGTTCATCAATTTGAACTTTGTTATTTCGCAAGGAAAGGTCATTTGGCTTCGCATTTAATCAGTAATTCAAACCCGTAAGCCAATTTTATACATTTATTTTAATTTGAACTTATTTGACTTTGGCTACGCGTTTGAACACTTCATAATTTTATATATATAGTGTCAAAAAGAGCGCCATATTGACAATCGTAATCAATATTCAATAAGGCTGCAATCTATAAATAATCAGCATAATCAATCAAAGCTAGATTTTACCCTGTAAAGTGCTGCCTTTGACTTAGTGGTGAGAATGTTATCAGTTTTACTACATATATTCTAATGGCAAGTATAATTGAAAATGATGATTTTTAGAGCATTGTTAAATATATAAGATTGTATGGCTAGTTTTTTGCATGTGTATGAAATGATAAATCAAGACAAGTCATTGATTGATTTTTTTTAGGAAATACTAGTGTTGGAGAGTGCGGTCGATCATGCCTTAACAAGTTTAGAAGTTTTATGATGAAATATGACCAGGTAACTGTCTGAAAAGATCATTAACTTTTTAAACTTGAAGTTCTGAAGTACTACTTGTGATTAGTTTCAAAAAGTATGCTGTCATTGGCAAGTATGATGGCACCCATTTGCCTACATTGGTAAGTTTTTATTTTTTATTGACCTCTAATTGCTATTAGGTTGTTTATTGAATTGGAATTGAGATTTCCAAGAGAATTGAGATAGTTTTTCTTTTGAATTACATATCGTATATTATTTCTTTTTTCGACATTTGTTCGTTTTTTAAAAATTTTTATGTAAAGCACATTGGTTAGTCTATGGCTGGTGCAACCTGTATCCATGGACATGACAACCCCCTGCCTTTATATGTTATTTATTGAATTGAAAAGATACCAATATTAAAATAAACTGAAAAAATTTAAACACAAACTTCGATTACAAAAAAATTCTCTGTCGTGAAATGCTCATGTTTTTGGCTACGTCAACATAATATATTTATGTTGAAAAAATTTACGATTGTACTCTATATAAGTAACTTGTCACTTTACCAGGCGCATTAAAAACGTTTATAAAATAAACACAATGAAACGAGTGCGCTGATTGGTCTAGAGCCGTGTTTTTATTAGCCTGTGCAAAACACAAAACACATCTGAGCTCAACCAATCAAATCAATGAAAACAATCAATATTTAAAGAGAATTAACAAATCGATCATGAACACATTTTAGAGGAAAAATTAAAATGTTTGTCTTTTTCCTATTAGTGTTATTTTATAAAAGCAATAAAAGATGTTTGTCGTGTTTGCACTGGCTTATGCAAACCTCAGAGACGTTTGTGAGAGCTCTCGAGCTGTGCAACCGTCGACCTTCGGTCTCGGGCTTGCACTGATTTGCTCTCGAGTTCTCCCAAAGGTCTCATCGGCTTGCATAAGCCTGTGCAAACACAGTAAACATCTTTTATTTCTTAATTAAATTCAGTTTGGAATTTGCATGATTCAGCAATAATTGATCCCCAAGGAGCCGTAAACGCAGTTGAATATGATAAATCCCAAGCATGACACTCTTTTCAACTTCCACGATTCTTTGTGGGTTGATTTACAATTGCTGTTGAAGGACGCAAATTCTAAAGTTTGGGGGATTTCTGAGGGTTGCAGTTCTTTATACACCAGTGTTTTTCGAAATTTATAGAGGTGCCGACGAGTTGACCTCGAAGCGAACTTGAGATTTAGGCTGCGTGTACATTATACCGGATTAACTCATCACGACATCTTTATTTGCTTTAAAGGGTTAACTTCTCGGAGTAAAAGCTTATTAAGCTGATAGATTTGGTCTATTTGACTGTGTTTCTGACGTTGAACAATTTCATTGCCTTTTAATACAAAGAATGTTCAACCTGCTACTATAGCAATCCAGTATAATGTAAACGGGGCCTTAGAGATTGCTGACTACGAGTACAAATGTACAATACGAGTACGAGTCTGTACTGCATATAGGTATCAGGCTTATCAACCATTATCAACTTATTGTCATTATTGAAATTGCGTAAGGCAAAATCCACATTCTCCGAATTCTTGCATGAATTTTGTCTGAATTGGCAATCCCAAACATTGTTATTCTTGACTTGCAATTCAGCCATGTCGGTGGTCTGATACAAAGAATATTTTATCAGAGTTATTGTTGGCACCAGCCGGCGTGGGCGAGCAACATTGTTTGGCAAATCTCAAGAGAATGGTTGCATGTCAAGAATAGCTTGTAACTTAGCTATAATAATATTTACGTCTTAGTCAATTACAATATTTCATTCTTGTTTTCTGATATTTGCTAACACGTAAACTAAAGCTATAGACTGTAAAAGTTTCCTAGATTGGTGAAAAATGTAGCCGTGAGCCATAGAGAAACAACTTGTTTGTCAAAATGAAACAAGACATTCTAGATTAAAGCATGATTGTGTTTAAAGTATTCGTTGCTACATATATAATTATGGAAGCAACATTTGAGGAACGTTGCTTGTATTCTTCTATAGTGTATATTAATCAATTATGTTACCTAAATAAAATATGGCTCGAGTATGCGTTTTCGTTCAATAGTGCGTTTTGATACGCTCGAAAGATGGAATTTGCGCAACACGCTGTGAACAGTTGCTAAAACAAGAACTTTGAATAACACCTTCTATACTCGAAAGTTAAGATTGTTGCAAAAAAAGTGTGGGCAAAAATTTGCCATTCCCGACTTCCTTTTAATGTTAATTGACAACATTGTCAAAAGATTAATTTTATAAGTTGAAAAACACATAAAAATTAATTAATTAAGCGAGTGAAGTTCTTACTTCAGTGCTTTGCGCGTCTTTAGGCGGAAGCAGAAGAAATATTAACAAGCAATTCCGTGTACCTGGACGAACGAAGACGATTTTCATCATTCCAATTTTCTAGTCAAAAGAAATCCGTTCCAGTTTCGTCAAGGTAATGTAATATTCTTTTACTAACGCGCATTAATCTAAATAAACACATTCTGGTGAGATTGACCTTCGAATTGAATTCTTCGCAATTATATATGCTATAGCTTTCCCAAAACAAACATTGGCAATTCAGTGAAAAATAATGCTCTTTCAACGTTGTAGTCTGCCAGTAAGATAACTTGTGAACTAGTACGCAAACAACTATTAGCTATTTTTACTGGAGTACTCTAGTTCTGAAATTTTATTTTTAATTTGTGCTCAACTTTTCAACATGCTGTGCAACTGCCTGTACATAAAAATACTGTGTCGATTCCGTGTTTCAAATGGAAGTTTTCTCAATTATGGATTCGTTTCACTTTTCTTCCCTTACCAAAAGAATAAAAGCATTCGCAGTTCAATTCAAATAACATCTCTTTTAACGTTTTTGTATGCTACATGCAGTATTATGATTTTTAACCAATCCTCACAATGTTCTTGCGACTGACATGCATATATTTTGTATTTAATGTAAGACTAGCATAACCTGAATGGAAAAATACATGACTATCTATAAATGCTTACGTTCTGTCTAACATGAATTTTGTCCCTTAAAACTCTAACAGTCGATGTATAACTTTATAAATGATTGGCATTCAACTACAAAGCCATGACGCAGGAAAAAACTTTTTCTTTAAAAATTTCTTAAATTAGCTACAAAGCATGCAGGTGACTACGTCTTCTTTTCGTCCATACATTTTTCAATTACTCGTAACAAATGACCTTCATTCATTGAAAAAACTATGATCAAAACAAAATAGGTTATTTCTCGAAATCTGTACTTCGAAGCTTAAATATTGTATATTCGACCCCGTATGCTTGCTCAATCAGCCATTTATATGTCTCATTTAGGTTACGCTCTTCGCATAGTGGGGTTCAATAATTATAAATGTTTATAATTCATCCATATTCAAGCTAAGGTCTATTATATTTATTTCATATATAGTGTAGAATGGCTAGCGACAACACAAAATCATCTGATGTTTCATACGCAGATAATGCACCCCGAATTAGTAAAGATGATCTTTTTATGATCATAGCACTCTGGATGCAAGATTTTGTCACCCATGAAGAAGCTGAAATCGACGAGAATATTAACCAAGTTGGGGCAGTATTAGTATCTGCTGACGACAAGATATACGCAGCTGACTGTTCACGAGAGGGAGTTCATGCAGTTGCTAGATTATTAATAAAACATCCAGAAAAAATGAAAGGCTCCAAAATCTTCATGTCTCGAAAACCTTGCTCTTTTTGTGCAAAACTTCTCGTTCAATCAAAAATACAACGTGTGCTTTATCTTCCCTTTTATCCCGAGTATTATGCAAGAAACAACGAAAATGAAATGGACAAACTAGCAAGGAACAACGAAAATGAAATGGACAAACTAGCAAGGAACAACGAAAATGAAATGGACAAACTAGCAAGGAACAACGAAAATGAAATGGACAAACTAGCAAGGAACAACGAAAATAAAATGGAAGAAGTCGACGAGTTATTTAAGTCAAGTTCAATTGCATCATCATTGTTTGTATTTAAAATAGAAGAGAACGTTCTTATACACGAAAATATAAATAACGATCCATCGATGGTTTCCGATCATATTAGTTTCTTGGAAAAAAAGTTTAAGCTTGATCAATGGAAGTCAGGTTGGCTCAAGGAGGAAAGTGGGAAAATGAAGCGTGAGCTTCCCTGGCGAATATTTGATAGTAATATCGGCGCGGAAGTTGAAAAACGGTTCAATGATGCAATAAAATGGATGGCAAGGGTCATAGCTGCGAGTGGACGGTCCTTAAAAGACGAATTCCTTATGTGTCCTCTTTTACCACAAAACAAGAATGCTAGTTCTTCAAGTGAAACACATCCATTCAGTAATTTTGACCCTACAAAGGAGAAAGACCGACAGAAAGCTAATCATTTAATGATTCTTGCAAGTTTTCTTACTCAACGAACAGATGATCCAAAAACAGGAGTGGGAGCCGTAATTGTGAACTCAAAGATGGATATCCTCTCGTTTGGTTGGAATGGATTTCCACAAAAAGCACGTTATGGTGAATTTGGAAGAGGATCGAACCACGATAAAGGTGTCAAGTCGAAGCTTCCCTACGTTATACATGCCGAACAAAATGCTTTGCTCATGCGCAACTGTCACAACGTCAAAGATGCGATTCTTTTTGTAACAAAGCAACCGTGTAACGAATGCACACCATTGTTAGCGATGGAAGGAATCACAACAGTTGTGGTGGGCGATGAAGTTAAAGAAGATCTACCACAAAAAGCATTAGGGTATGACATGTTCCCAAAAATGGTGAAGAATGGAAAATTCTCATGCTTTGAATCAACTCTTTCAAGAAAACATAAACCAATGACAGAGTGATCAAATTAATTGGTTCATATTTTTCAAAGCAACTCAAAAGAAACAATAAACCTGGAATAATTCGCTACATTTTGTTAACTTTTTACATATTTTTTTCTATCTGAACTTTGATTAAATTTATGTGTGTTTTATTTTTATTCGCATTTTAATTTTTCAAGGCGTACAACTTCAAACATGTCATTTCCTGTTGAGTTCGAGTTACTCGACATATATCATTCTTAATATACTCTATACCTTTAGTAACAACCACGAGTGAACTTAATGATCGAACTGATTTTTATTATTTTACAGAGCAGTATTTATACTCTTTATTACAAACAACAAATATTATTATTGGTCGGAATAGTTCCTCTATTTAAGCTATATATGGTACATAAGGAAATTTAACTAACGTCAATAACTGTTCCTTGGCTGTTAGCCGGGTGGGAACGGATACATTGATAAACTAAACTACGCACATACTATTTCCTTAACATGTTTTTGTGGTTTATGCGCATGACTCAACATTTCCACACAATTTTTGTGTAGGATGACTTTTTATTTGGTCCATTAACATTTTCACATGGCATTAAATTCTACATACTTGTTTTAAATCTGTTGTAGAAAATTCATTGCTACATACGGAACCTCTTGACAAAGTATCACAATCTGATATGTCAAGAACAGATGAAGATCTATCTTCCACGAATAATGTGAGTGGGTAGTTTTATGACCCATGGCACTTTAAATATGTAAAGTTTTGTCTCAAATAAGTTTGTGGCAATGCTATTGTCTGCTGCTTGTCTATTCACAAGATTGAGCTCGATTTTTAATGAAACTTCCTGACGAAGCGAATCAATCAAAAGTCAAACGAATTAATTTGCACTTACTCCATAAACTAGACTACAATATGAATTGCTATATCAGGAAGAAGAAAACAAACTAAGTCCAAAGGACAAATTTGTCCAGCGGTCACAACATGCTTGAAAGAAGGAAGTTCTACCACATGCTTTGGGGAACTGACAAAACAAGTCTTAACATGTATAGCAAAATTTAAACAATGAATATTATGTTATTCGAATCAAACATAGTTATACTTGTACTTGTGAGAACAAGGTGCAAAAATTTTCGCGATATCCTGCTTCATTTCAAGGTCAATTCAATTCATTTATTATAAACATTGATATAAAAAGCACGTGACGTCCAAGATTGTTTGCTTGTTGCGTGGCATAACACGGAAGCAGCAGAAAAATTAAATTGTCACCGTGCACGTGAAAAAACGAAGGTAATTTTATCATTTCAAATGAAAAGAAATATTTCTCGTGGCATAAACGTACATTTATTCATCTGTGTATTAAAAAAGTACCGTGGTGATTTCGTTCTTTAGGTGGAAGCCTTCTCAATTATGAATTACCTGTTTTAAGATGCTCACGTTCTGTGTAACATAATTTTTGTCTCTGAAAACTTCAAAGAGTCGATTTATAACATTATGAACTATTGGCATTCAATAAAAACTTTTTGTTTAAAACCATTTAAAACCGTCTTGTATGAACCATTTAAAACTTAAAAAGCAGGTGACTATACATTACAGCTCAAAAAAGCTTTTTCATGAAATTTGAATTTCGATTTTTAATATTGTATTGATTTGATTTGCTAGTTTAATCAGCCACTCGTCTTCTAGTCTTAAATATTCTTACCATTATTGATGCATCTCCAAGGTTACGTTTGTCACGCAGTCTGTGTTCAGCGTTCAATAATTACAAATGTTTAGAATTCGCTCATACGAGCAGCAGCTGACATCCATCGCACTTATTTTGTGTCTAGTGTAGAATGGCTGGCAACAGCAAAAGAGAACAATTACGTGATGATTCATGCGCAGATAGTCCACCGCGAATTAGTAAAGAAGATCTTTTCATGATCATCGCACTCTTAATACTATTCCCGTATTTGTTTACAACACACCGCTGGTCAATCTGATCTCAGCCTTCTGCCTTCTTAACTCCCGAAAATTTGCTATGGGGATTCAGCTCCGGTGATCGGGGGAACAGTGGCGTGGTGGCATAGTTTTTACTGCGGTGGCCAACACAAATTTTGCGCCCCTTTCACCTTTTCTTATAGCTATTTTCAAATATTTTAGTTATTTTTATTTTATAAAACACAAACATGAATCTTCATAAAAAGATCATAGTGGATGCTCCGTCATACGTTTGGGCAACAAGTTTTTCAAATGAAACTCCATGCAATTGTAATATTGTTGTTATATAGCAGTGTATAGGTCATGTGCAGTTGTTCCAATTGCTTCTTGGCATGACAAAACGTGTTCAGAACGCTCGTCAGTTTCATTAACAAGCCTTATGCATATACTCAATTGCTCTGTATGAGTTATATCGGGTGTTGTATCAGCAATCAATGCCCATGCTTTGCAGTTGCGTATTTTTTGTACAATTACAGAAGATATTTCTTTACCAATGATATTGATTAACTTATTTTGAATATCGTTGCTCAAAAACGTTAGCCATAAGCCACGTCCTTTGATTCCTTTTTCATCAGTTTTACCACCGTTCTTTGTCGATTGCTGCACTTGGTGATCACGAACTTTCTCAAGATGCTCATTGATTGGTTGATCGTACTCTGACAATAATTTAAGCGTTTCCAAAAAGTTTCCTGTATTAACATAGAAATTTATCAGTGATTCACAGTGACCCCTAAAGGAAAGCCCTTGTCTTCCAAGAAACATAATAACATCTATCACAAGTTTCAAAACTGTTTTGTTTAAAACAACTTTCTTTTTACGTCTTTCAGACTCGATTTTCCCCTGGTGATGAAACTGATCCGATAATGAGTTTTCTTGAAGGAAAAGAGCTTCTGCAACTTTTGCGTTTAGATGAGAATTGCATTTTTCATGCTCCAGAATTCTAATATACTGCTTTTTTCCGTTTAGAGAAACCAATGTTTGCAAAAGCTTTTCCTTGATTTGAACGAATATTTTCTCCCCTAGACGTTACATATGAAAACAGAATGCATGGTATGCAAAACAAGCTGTCTTCACTTAGTGAATAGGAAATCCATTTTCGTCTTGTTCCATCATCGTGGAAAAAACCTGCTGGGAGCGATAGCGAGTGCGATCTCCTTGTACTATCCTCCATTGTTTCAAAACAAACTGGGATGGTTGGAATGGATTCATTATAAGTAAACGCCTTTTTTTCACTAATGCTGAGATTAAGATCAACAACTGCCCCAGGATCAAACGTGTTTTCTTTCGTATCAATAGAAATATTTCGATTCAATTCATTTTCAGCAGATTCTGAGATGCCTTCGCCTTCCTTACGTTCATTTGAATTGACAAAGCTGTCAATATCAGGGCATTCACCAACAGAATCACTGCTTTTGATTGATTTGAAAGTATGCTTATCTTGATCGTTTACATCTGTCGACTCAGATTTTTCTTGCGCATGCACTTGTTTAAGGTCTTCACTGATATTCGGCGTTTCCCTGAGTTTTAATTCTAATTCCTCTGTTGTTTGTGACAAAGTGCATGTTGGGTCATTTTGTGTAACATTGATTAAGATAGGCAAAAAATTACACATTTTAGGCCTTGTTGCGTCCCTTAAGAGGACAATTTGGCCGTGTATAAATAGGGGAAACTAGAATGCTAATTGGGGGGTGGTGTAATAATCATATATTCAGCTCTGCCTTGCTGTTGATTTCTTTTGTTGGCGATGTTAAATTCAATATAAATCAGCAGGGCAAAGCTGAATATATGATTATTCACTCCCCCCCCAATTAGAGTTCTAGTTTATCCCCTGCATGTATTTTTTCTACAGTCATCGTGACAAATCATGCATGCGTCGTGGCCACAAACGAAACATCTAATTATAGAATGCTCGTCAATATCTTATTGTTTAATCGACCCCCTTACAAGGTTTCATTTTGGTCTGTCTACTTTTTCCCTAATTCCCTAAAGTTGACTTCATTCAATGAATATATAAGTGCTAAAAGAACTGTTCTGTTTCAAATGCGTTTTAAATTTTTTATAGCCCATTTTTAAAACTTGATGACTCGTATTTAAGTCAACGCCCCCAAAAATCAACAGCTAGGGGGCCCTGGCCCCCCTGCCACCACGCCACTGCGGGGGAAAAACTTCACGAGAACCAGATCACTAATGTTCTCTTTTTTCTAAATATTTTTTTACGTAAGGGAAGTTAGTTTTGTATAGTTATCCTTTATTGAAACGAATCCTCTTCCGCACAGCCTTGTATATCTCATGAAATTTGCACGCCTATAAATGATTGAATGATATTCTTGTCAAGCGTCTGACAAACGGGCACCAACTATTGCCATGTCTTTGAAAGAAGGTATTTTTTAACAAAGAGTACGTTCTTTACGGGAGGCATTTTAGGTTTCTCATGTGTTTCTTTAACTGTCTTTTAAATATCTTTAGCTGTCACAGTGGTGTTGTTTTCTTTAATATACTTGTCTTCCTTCAGGGTCGTAGAGTTTGTCTTATCCATCCTTTGTTGGGTTACAGTTTGTTTTTCTTAATAATTATTGCAAAGCTCTCCAATCAACGCCTTTTGACTTTTTCAACCTTTCTGAAAACTGCGAAAATTCGATCCTTTTATATTCTAATATTTTCTAATTTTCACCATCATTTGCACAATGGTAAAATCTACTGCTTTTGTTCTATCGTGCACTGTATAGTTCGGTTCAAATATTTCTGATTTTTGATGTTCGTAAAAATCTTTTTATACAAGGCTTTCTTGTTTATCCCCGACATATTTAATTCTTTCTATACTTCTCTTGATATGAAGCATCTGAGTCATACCATTGTAATTCACTATAGAAATTATAAACAGTGCATTTTTACAGGACAAAATCGGAATAAGAGTTCATTATTCTCGCACTTGGGACAGTAAAACACACGACAAGTAATGGCTATAATCGATCGCTTTCGCGGGCCTTGTACTCTTAGCCATACCAAAATTGTCACATGATCTTTTTAATCTTTAATATCAATGAAATAAAGAACTTTACATTAGGTTCTTTGTCAATTGAAAGTATCGTCTGGATATTTAAGTCAAGTTCATGTTTAAGTCATGACATTGTAGCATCATAAATCCACGAAAATGACAAACAAGATACTCCAGTGTACTTTCGCATTATGAAAAAAGACATTCACTCAAACAAAATATTCACTCAACTCCATGTAATTAAACGTTTGACAGTTTCTACAGATGATTCTGTTTTGAATTGTTTTGGATGTTTGAATTAGGTAACTATGTTTTGTGGATTTGCTGTCAAGCTGTACCGCATGCTGTGACAAACTGATTTGAACATTATATGAATATTTGAACAAAACACAGTTATACTTGCGAGCTCAAGCTGCAACAATTTTTGCGACATCCTATCTCATTTCAAAGTCAAATCAATTGCTTGTATTAATCACTATCATCGATAGTAGAAAGCAGGTGATGCCAAAAATTGTCTGCTTGTTGCTTGGCACAACACCGAAGCAGTAGAAGTATTAAATTTTCGTCGTATACGTGGACAAACAAAGGTAATTTTATCATTTCAAGTCAAAAGAAATCTGTTCTCGTTGCATCAAGGTATCGTAAATTTGTCTTTAACTTTTCTTCTAAATGCTACTTTGATTTCATTGTTCTTTTTGTTATGTTTGACACTTGTATAGGTAGGCAACACTTAGCAAAAATATGAGTGTTTGACTTTACATTCGTCTTATCGCGCAAACATTTATTGTGCTATCAGTACGCAAACAACTATTAGCTATTTTTACTGGAGCAACTCTAGTTCTGAAATTTTATTTTTAATTTGTGCTCAAGTTTTCAACATGCTGTGCAACTGCCTGTACATAAAAATACTGTGTCGATTCCGTCTTTCAAATGGAAGTTTTCTCAATTATGGATTCGTTTCACTTTTCTTCCCTTACCAAAAGGATGAAAGCATTCGCAGTTCAATTCAAATAACATCCCACTTAAACGTTTTTGTATGCTACATGCAGTATTATGATTTTTAACCAACCCTCAAAGTTCTTGCGACTGACATGCATATATTTTGTATTTAATGTAAGACTAACATAACATGAATGGAAAAATACATGTCTGTCTATAACTGCTTACGTTCTATCTAACATGAATTTTGTCTATAACTGCTTACGTTCTGTCTAACAAAAACTTTATAAATGATTGGCATTCAACTACAAAACCATGACGCAGGAAAAAACTTTTTCTTTAAAAATTTCTTAAATTAGCTACAAAGCATGCAGGTGACTACGTTTTCTTTTTGTCCATACATTTTTCGATTACTCGTAATAAATGACCATCAGTTATCGAAAAAACTATGATCGAAACAAAATAGGTTATTTCTTGAAATTTGTACTTCCAAGCTTATAATATTGTGTATTCGACCCCCTATGCTTGCTAAATCAGCCATTTGTATGTCTCCTTTAGGTTACGCTCGTCGCATAGCGGTTTTCAATAATTATATATGTTTATAATTCATCCATATACAAGCTGACATCTATTATATTTATTTCATATATTGTATAGAATGTCCAGCCACAATTCCTACGCAGATAATCCACCGCGAATTAGTAAAGATAATCTTTTCATGATCATCGCACTCTGGATGGAAGATTTTGTCACCCGTGAAGAAGCCAAAATCGATGAGAATACTAACCAAATTGGGGCAGTATTATTATCTGCTGACGACGAGATATACGCAGCTGACTGTTCACGAGAGGGAGTTCATGCCGTTGCTAGACTATTAATAAAACATCCAGAAAGAGCAAAAGGCTCCAAAATCTTCATGTCTCGAAAGCCTTGTCATTTTTGTGCAAAACTTCTTGTTCGATCAAAAGTAGACCGTGTAGATTATCTTCCCTTTAAAACAGGATAATATAGATGAAGGGAAAAGTCGTCAGGCAACGACTATAAAATCGACGAAGTCGGTGAGATATTTAAGTCAAGCTCAGTTGCTGCATCATTGTTTATATTTGATATAAGAAAGAATGTTCTTGAAGACGTTGGGCATTGTAAATCGAATAAAACTTTCAATGAATCTAAGTTCAATAAATGGGAGTCAGAATGGCTCACTGAGGAAAAGGAAAAAATCAAACGCGAGCTTCCATGGCCAGCGTATGATAAGGAAATGGACAAGAGAGTTAAAGAATGGTTTGTTGACGCAGCGAAATGGATAGCAAGTGTTATGCATGCGACTGGAAGGTCTTCAAAAGACTCTTTTCAGATACATCCAGATGTGACATCTCAATTCATTGATTTCGACCCTACAGATCCGAAAAATCGAGAAAAAGCCAATCATTTGTTGACTCTTGCAAGTTTTCTTTCTCAACGTTCGGATGATCCGAAAACTGGAGTGGGAGCCGTGATTGTGAACTCAAAGATGGAAATGCTCGGATTTGGTTTGAACGGATATCCACCAAAAGCGCGTTATGGTAAATGCATATCATTGTTTTGTATAGGTATTAGTGCTAGATAAATTCTTCCTCCTTATACACCCTGTAAATATGTAATAATTTTAACATCAACAGACGGCTTTCACTACGTGTGAGTCTTACCAATTTGGTGATATTGGAAATCAAACCAATTACATGCCTGTTTAGTAAAATTGAACAGTGTTTTGACTTTTTGCTAAACACTACAGCACTCGCCTTTATGGAAATTTGATTGTCATAATGGTTGTCTCTGGTATTTTTATCTATACTTTGGTAGCAGTGTGTTTTCTTGATTAACAGATATTGTAATAGACAAACTAAAGTATCAACAATCTCAATTTGTGCTGAATTTCGCACAACACCGCTTGAACATTTCAGCAAAAACGGCGTCTCGTTAGTCAGCACAACGGCAATAAATCAATCAAGCGACAGATTTTAGTCTCCAAATTCAGCACAATTTAAGGCGTGCTGACCACAGATCTAATAATACATTATTAGATCTGTGTATTATTAGATCTGTGGTGCTGACTCTGTGCGGGTTAGCTATGGGTATTTCTCCCGCAAGTGAAATATAAGTATTTTTAGCCACTTGATCCCTTAATCCCATGCTTAATCCAGGTCTTGGAAACAATAACATTGCTCAGTGAATGCACGTTGTTGCACAATTTTCTCATAATACTATCCCTAACCCCGACAATATGTTTATTTTTCTAATGCTTTCGTTGTGAGGACACAAAAAATTTAATTAATTTTCGGATAAAGAGTTCATGATCATTATTCACACAACGAAACAAAGTACACCATACAGAGACGAGATTCGAACCTGCAAAAGACGAATAGAAAAATGCTCTTAGTCCTTTCGACCAAACGGACTTCGATCCACACGCGGCAAATTGTTTTTATTTTCAACTAGGGGCATTTAAAATTTAGAATTCAACAACGTCGCGTGCTGAATGTGACGTAGTTTCAATCCGCCCCTGAACTAAACAATTGTTAAATGAAATATTAGAATGAATTACTATGCGTGAGTAGTTACATCCTGAATGATGTCTGAGAATTTACGATTCATATGCAGTGACGCTAGCATGGATTTATTAAACTGTATTCCTTGCATTTAAGCGGACAGCATGTATTTTAAAGAACATATCTTTAAGTCTCCAACTTTTAATCTCAAAAAATTCGCAATAAAGAAACCTATAACCATTATGCGCACGCACACCAACAAAATGATCAAAAAAAGATAAAAAAAAACCCCGCAAATATCCAAAATGTTTGCGTGCAGACAGAAGTATTAAATTACATACGGACAGACGTGTCAAAGTACATGGACGGCGACGTGGCGTCACAGAATTCTGTTACGTTGTAAGGTGAAGGAATGAGGATGTAAGATAATTTCAAGTGAAAAGAAATCTGTCCCACTTCCTTCAAGGTAATATTAATTTTCTTCTATTAACGCATACTTACCAACCTGGGTTCTACGTTACCGCCATCCGTGTGTTGGGTGACGGTGCAACATTTCATGTTAATTTATCCGAAAATGATTGTTTTCTCCAAAATATCTCATGAAATACTTTAGCTTTTGTAAAAAATCACATCATTAGATAGCGTACAATATATGCTTTCTGTTGATACAAATTTTAGTACTAAAACCTGTCTTATTACGATGAAAAGATGTGTTCATGTGCCATCAACATTATGGAAAATTATAACGCAACAAAACACTAACAACAAGCTGATTGGAATTTTACAGTTTTATGTTTTAGATATTGTAAAACAGAGCATACCATTGTAAAATTCACTCAATTTTCTTCAGATAGGTGAAATGATAGCTTTTCACAATAAAAATTAGGGCTGTTTTGAGCAACCTGTTATAAATCCTTCTAAAATGTTTTTAAAGCGAAATGTTCGTTGCCATGGCTATACATTCATATCGTCTTAAAGAAAACCACCGCTCAAACACTCTTTATTTTATATAAAACTATGAAAATACTTCATCTTAACCTTTATAAATTATGAATGTTTATAGTACATCCATACAAGCTGACAGGCAACGTATTTATTTTATACTTAGAGTAGAATTGAATATCATGGCATCATCATCCAAGAAAATCAAACTTTACGCAAACAATCCACCGCGAATTAGTAAAGAAGATCTTTTCATGGTCATCGCACTCTGGATGCAAGATTTTGTCACCCATGAAGAAGCTGAAATCGATGAGAATATTAACCAAGTTGGGGCAGTATTAGTATCTGCTGACGACAAGATATACGCAACTGACTGTTCACGAGAGGGAGTTCATGCCGTTGCCAGATTATTAATAAAACATCCAGAAAAAACGAAAGGCTCCAAAATCTTCATGTATCGAAAACCTTGCCATTTTCAAGGGTCGCCTTTTTTACATGTACCTTCAATTCCTATTTCTTGTATTTTAGGAAGTTTTATGCTCAACACGAAGCGCCTCAGAAAAAACCGAAGAAGAAAAAATACATTATCTTATAAAATAACAAAGTTTACACTGAAAAATCTGAATAGCATGTTAAATGATAAGTACTTTGTCGTTAGCACACATATAGTTGTGAATGGTAAACTTTCTACAGGAAAGTTTGTACCCTGCATTATATTTAGCTATACCTGCATGAACACATGAAATGCGTTGAGCGTAGACGTCATATTAATGCAGGAAGTTATATAAAAGCAGCTTTTCATCGTCATAATATAATTTACCGTTCAAGACCAATCTAATATAGTATAATGGCTTTCAAATTTCGCTATACCACTCTTGTTTCATTATATTTTTAGAAATAGATAATTTCAGTCTAAAGGCATAGCAAGCTACAGTGTGCTTTCTTTTCTTTCAATTAGCCTATTTAAAACATTGACTCGTTTTATCTTTTAATTTGGACTACTGCATTAAAATGGGCAAAATGAATTCTATTATTTTAAAAATGGAATATGTTCTACTTCATTTCCACTCAGAGACGTCCAATGAAATTTTTTCCTGCCGAACGTTCACGGAAGCATTATTGATTGGGTCATTCAAGTAGTGATAATTGTTGTAGTTCATCGTTTGACCGTAATAATGCGGCTATTCATGATTTTCTGTTCATCATTTGCTTGATCCGACAATGAAGAACTTTCGAAGTTGTGGAATTTTTGTTTGTGGGGTACGCTGCTCGATGATTGCACTGTCTCGTTTTATCTGTCTTAAACCACCCACATGCCTCTCTACTAGATGATGCAATTATTGCAACATTAGTTAATTGAATGAAGATATGATCGCACAGAAAAATTCAGGTGACTCAACGGGATTCGAACCCATGACCTCTGCGGTGAACCTGAATTTTTCAGGTTCATGAGACAATTGCTTAAATTGTCCAGCAAAGTGCGAAGATCATATCTTCATTTAATTTCAAACACCGCACTGCATAAAACATTCTTTCATATGACATTCCTTTCACGAGAAAACATGCGCCCAACAAAATTGACCTGCTCACCAATGTGTGACTTCATAGCTCAGTTGGTCAGAGCACTGCACCGGCACCGCAAGGGTTCGACTCCCGTTGAGTCACCTGAATCTTTCAGGTTGATGAGACAATTTCTTAAATTGTCCAGCAAAGTGCGAAGATCAAATCTTCATTTATTTCAAACACCGCACTGCATAAAACATTCTTTCATTAGTTAATTGATTGTGCATTTTTCCGGAGCTAACAACCTTGGTTGATTTGGGAAAAGTATACCTTCTACTGACTGAGTATTTTTATTAGCACCAAGGAAACGTGGCAGAAGAACCAATCAGTTTGCACACAGCTCAAATTTCGGTCTTTTCACAGCCTCTATATTATCTAAGAGCTATCGTTAGCCTACGCTAGAAAGTGGCAATTCAGAAAATGTGATCTTTTTGTGAATCACAGTTCACAAAATTCTCTGAACCAATTACATGTTTTAAACGGTGTCAACTGTCAAAATAAAGGAAATCGAAAGCATTATAGTTTTTCTATGTTAATCAACAGCAGCACTCTTGTGTAAATTTATTACACTATTGCTGCTCTTTTCCACACTTTAACACATCCACTGTACACATTACTGTACACACTTTTTTTTTGAACTCTGATCGGGTGAATTTGGCCTAATTGCTTTTAACCTGCTAGGCGGGAAGCAGAGGTCAAGTTTTTTTTCCGTGGTTAATGGTCGCGAGCGTGAAATTGTTTTTTCTATTGAAAAATTTCGATTTAGTTGCCCTCTTTGGTGTGCTGAAGTTAGAAATGAACGAAATAGTTCTTTGCTCTGTAATAAATATGCTTCACAACAACTTTTCAAACCGTTTATCGATGAAACAGGATACCGAAAAGGTAAGTGTAAATATGAAATTTAGAGCATCTGAATTATCAATTTTTTTTCTTGTTTTGCTCCCAACCACGGACCCCTCCCAAAATGAAATACGTTCTTACGTCCTTTTCTTCACTAAATACCGTTTGACTTTTTGGTGTGTTTTAGGTGATAACTAAACGACGAACGAGTTTCTAAGTTTTCATGAGGGTGGCATTGTGGCAAGTTTTCGCTCCTGTGTTCATCAATTTGAACTTTGCTATTTTGCAAGGAAAGATCATTTGGCTTCGCATTTAACCAGTGATTCAAACCCGTAAGCTAACTTTGTACATTTATTTTAATTTGGACTTAATTGACTTTGGTTACTCGTTTGAACGCTTGATAATATTAATTATATGTATATAATGTTTAAAAGAGCATCATTTTGACATTCGTAATCAGGCTGCAGTGTACACGTAAATTTATATAATGCCATGATCTAAATGAGATGTTACCCTGTGAAGTGCTGCCTTTAACTTAGTAGTGAGAATGTTATAAATTTTACCATAATCTAATGGCAAGTATAATTGAAAAATGATGATTTGTTAGAGCAGTGTTAAATAGGATTGTATGGCTTGTTTTTTGCATGTGTATGAAATGATAAATCAAGACAAGTCATTGATTGTGTTTTTTAAGAAATATTAGTGTTGGAGAGTGCGGTCGATCATACCTTAACAAGTTTAGAAGTTTTATGATGAAATATGACCAGGTAACTGTCTGAAAAAATCATTAACTTTTTAAACTTTAAGCTTTTAAGTACAACTTGAGATTAGTTTCAAAAGCATTATCGACATTGGCTAGTTTTTATTTTTTATTGACCTCTAATTGCTATTTAGTTGTTTATTGAATTGGAATTGAGATTTCACTATCGTAGGAATTGAATTTTCAGAGGTAAACTAAAAAGTTATGTTTAACGTAGCTTTTTAAAAGTTTGATCAGATGTTAACAAAATATTCAAGCAAGGGCAAAGAATCCGTGATCATAAATAATTTCAATAGAAACTAAAACAGTAGAACATGCATATATGAATATTATCCCTCCCAATTATCAATCATCTACTGTCCTTTTAGTCAAGTGAAGTTGCCTGTGGTCATGTCTTTTTAAATAAGAAACCGGGTGTTCCAAAGTATTTCAAAGTTGTCAAAAATACTTTAAAAGCTCTGTTTTTGCCTTTTTATTTATAGTTCCTATTTTATTTTATTTTTGACACATGTTTGTTTTTTTAAAAAATTTTATGGAAACATATTGGTTACACATTGTAAAACATAATTACCCATGGACATTGCACCCCTCTGCCCTAGTATTGTTTATTGAATTGCCGAGATAGCAATATTGCAATAAAAACAATTGGGGGAGGGGAGGATAAGGGGAGTACAATAATTTGATCTTTCATAATATTTTCATAAAAACATTAAATTCTATCCGTAAGATGGAGACAAAATAGCAAACCTTTGATCGAAAGTTGCATTTGGGAGACCGTTTGTTGTTAAGTAATATGCGTTCCCTAGATATTTGCCATCTAAAAATTCCATCAACTCTTTTGCTTTTGCATTCCGTCCCGTCGGGCTGTCCACGATTACAGAATTTGATTGTGAAAAGCCGTGATCGTGGACATCTTTGAAAACACTTTTCATGAGAGATTTTCCTACTTTGATGTCTTCGCAATAAAGTGGACCAAGTTTGTAACCTTCTTCAGAGAAGAAGGCTAATCTTACAATGTAGCCTAAAATTCTTCCTTCTTTGTTGAATGCTACGCGCGCATGCGTACCCCAGCGTACTTAACCACGTTTTTAAAAAATTTTCTCTTGTGCAACCGAAGACTTTTTTGTCATAGAGTAAAACGTCATGCATGTTATTTTCATCGATACGATTCAATTTAAAGTGGCCCGGATGACTTTGGAGTTTTTCTAAACTTCTTAAAACATTGAGATCGTAAATGCCAACCGGCCATTGACAAACATAACCCAACATATTCTTTAGGAATTTAATCCGTGAAGCTGGAGCGTAACACACGCTTATTGTTCTTGCTGGTTCTTCTTCATGGCGTTCCATTATAGCATGTATGATACGTTTAGCATAGCCCATGTTTCGATAGTCTTTGTGGATAATAAAAGAGCCATGTTGGAAACCCTCTGAGCCATATTTAACGAGGGATATTGTTGCAACAGGTTTCTTTTGTGACTCTACAACATACACCGAGGCTTGCTCGTGTTCTAATATGCAATCAATATCATTTACACAAGGTCTCCATCCTTCGTTTGCTTTAGTAAACAGGTAAAAGTATTTATGTAACGTTGATGTTTCGTAAGCTGATCATCTTGCTCTTCTGCAAATTTATTGATATTCTAAGTTACACCACAGAATATAGTTATACGAAACGAATAATGTGACATGTGGCATGTGACATGTTCCATACTCCACAATAAAGACCATGTGAGACTTAAGCTAATTATAATAAGAAAGATTAATATCATGCAAAATTTGTGGCTTAAAATCGTTGAAAAAATAAAAGGGTCAACTGGATTTTGACGTGTAAATTATGCGAGTGTGCACAATTTTCTATTTATTTACACCTTTCTGAAGTCATTACAGGAAAAGATGTCCTCATTTTTATCAAAGATCGTCCAATAAAACGTAAATGCGTTGATTTGCGACAATTAGACAATCAATAGAACGAAAAGCTTATTCAAGAAAGAAACTTGAATAATCCAAGCATTCATTACCGTCTTTAAGAATTCAATGCAGAAAAATAAGCGTACAATAGCATTGAATTTCTATTCATGTGCAATTATTCATAAGTTATCAGCACGAAACTGAAATCAATTAAATGATTATATTGTTTATTAAAATTTGTATGCACAAACGTTCATTCAATAACGTCAATGAGCAGTGATTACAACGGATTATAGTGTCAATAGTACTTTAATGATAATGTTAACATATTACGCATGTTCATTAAATACAAATAATTTTTCAATACAACATAACGTAAAATGGAACGATTGATGTGAAAAAAGGCAGTCTGTATACAATCACTTGGCAATACACCAAGTTCTGAATGCTGTTATACAGAGCGTATATAAAGGAGTGATCACTGCACGAGACAGCAGAGATCGACCGCTGGTGTGAAACATATGTGAACATGCAAAGGCGCAACAGAATCTCACAAGAACATAGACAGCGAATTGTACAAGCGTTTGAGGAGGAAAACGAAGATTTTTTACTCGTTGCCGACACATTAGATGTTAACAGGTCAACGGCACGCAGAACAGTTGCGCGTTTTATTAGAGAAGGACGAATACATGAGCTACCTCGAGATGGTAGAAACAACATACGGGTGGATGACGAAATAAAAAATTGTTTCGAGGAGATTCTGAACGAGAACTGTGTAGCAACGCTTTAATCAAGAATCACGACGACGTCTTCCACAATAACCGTCATCCATGAAAGCACAGTAGCAAGAACACTTTTAATGAGATGCTATACTCATTCAAACTTTCGCTACCAGTTTCAGCAGAAAGAAACAGACCTGATGTTATTCAGAAGCGTAGA